CACCTCCTGGTCAGCGACAAGTACCGCTTCTTGTACTGCTACGTGCCCAAGGTGGCCTGCTCCAACTGGAAACGCATCCTGAAGGTGCTGGACGGGGCGCTGGAGAGCGTCGACGTCAAGCTGAAGATGGACCACAAGAGCGACCTGGTGTTCCTGGGGGACATGAAGCCGGACGAGATCAGCTACCGCCTGAAGAACTACTACAAGTTCATCTTTGTGCGGAACCCCATGGAGAGGCTGCTGTCGGCCTACAGGAATAAATTTGGGGAGATCAAGGAGTACCAGCAGAAGTACGGGGTGGAGATCGTCAGGCGGTATCGGAAGAACGGGGGGAATTCGGCAGGCAACGACGTGACCTTCTCCGAGTTTCTGCGGTACCTGCTGGACGAGGAGGTGGAGAGGATGAACGAGCACTGGATGCCCATCTACAACCTGTGCCAGCCCTGCGCCGTGAGGTACGACTTCATCGGCTCCTACGAGCGGCTGAACACCGACGCCAACTACGTCCTCGAGCGAGTCCAGTCGCCCTCCTTCGTCCGCTTCCCCGAACGGCAGTCGTGGTACAAGCCCGTGACGGCAGAAACACTCCATTACTACCTGTGCAACACCCAGCGCCGGCTAATAAAAGAGCTGTTACCAAAATATATCATGGATTTCTCCCTCTTTGCCTACCCCCTTCCCAACATAACCAGCGAATTCTGCAGGCAATGAGTTGTTCATTTCGGGATCTGGCGTGAATTCTGCCTTCACTGCAAGGGTTTGCTAATGCAGCCGTTGCTGCGAAGAGCACGTTGCTGCAGGGCCTGTGAAAGATGCTCTTCTATGCATTATTTCCTAATTTTATACTTTTCAAACACTGTTTATATAAAATACTATATATTGCCTTTGCTACTAGAATACTTTTTGTATTGTTCTGATTTTAACTTGTACATATGCCGCTGACTCGAGCACAGTAGCTTTTGTATATCTGTTTTGCTTTAAATTCTTTTTTTATGATATGACATGGAAAACGTCTGTAAGGAAATTGAAAAATTGATATATTTTAAGTATTTTTTCCTCCTTTTTTGTGTTTTGTACTAAATAGCATGTGGCTGAATTGCAATACAGCGGTTGGTGCGCTAATACCAATATAGTGGTTGATGCCCTAAAAATTAACACTGTTAAAACTGGTCCTGGATTAGACAGGAGATAGGGGGGGTTGGGGTGTGGGCAGAAGAAAAAGCTTTTATAAACTAGGCCCTGTGTATCCTTTCTTTTGTCATCCGTAGATGGTGGTTAAATGAGGCTGGTCTTTTTTTTCTGTGACAGTAGTACTTCTGGGTTTTATTGTTGTTATTATTATTATTTACCATTTAAATAAAACTAGTGGTAGGATAATACTCACTTTTGTGCGACTTTAAGATTTGAAAGTACTGACTTCTTACCCAGCGTATCAGATGCAATATCAAGCCATAACAATTTGCTCTTCTCTCTCTCTCTCGTTCTCTTTGAATCAAAGCAATACAGACTTCTGGTAAGATTAAAACCCACCCTGTTCCTCAGACAGAAGGCAACAAAACCCACCCGCAGCGTGCCTGCTCACAGCCTCGGTGGGTGTCTGCGTGCCCACGCGCATGCAAACCACCGTGGAAAAATACTTTCTCCAGCCATCTTTGAAACAATAGTGATTTGAGGATTAGTTCTCCCTTCTTTTATCGATGTGCACACCGGTTTTGTAGCTACTTGTATTTAATTATGGCCATTAAATTGTAAAAGTTTGGGAGGTAATGTAGAAAGTAGTTCCTGGGAGGCTGTGTCCTCATTTCTAATAAAATTTTTCTATAAATTTGTCTGTTGCTCAGTGCTTTTCCTTCGATGTTAACGTTTATTTGCATTCTTGGAGAGGCCTTCTGCCCCTCGTGCTAAGCCATGGCGTTAAAGTATGATGAATAGGCGGTTCCTGCCTTGATTAATTTGTGTTTTAATTGCCAGAGCAGCAATAACAAGTGGAGAAAGAAACGCATCCGAGCCAGACGACGAGACGATTACGCGACACGGGCAATGGGATGAAAAGGAGCAGTCAGCAGCAAAATAGGTACCTAATTGCTGTGGAGCAGATACAAAGCGGTGGGGATGGATTACGGACGTTGCGGGGAGCTGGGGGTTTCCTGGGATTGATGTCTCAAAAAGGGGGAAGGAAAATGAAGGTGTTTTCTTTAGGATTTGTGAAGTTGTCTGAAAGAAGGGCTTGGAGCCACATCCAAGCAAACTCAAAGCGGTGGGATGAAAAATCCTGCCTAGGGCGTGACTTCAGTAACTTAGTGGATTTGCTGTGTCTGTAAGCTCCCGGCGGAATCGCTGTCTCCCTCTGTTGAAGTCAGTGGCCAAGCACAGTTTGAATGATTTTTACCTCCGATAATGGGATCGTGGCTGGGCATGAGAGCAATGGCTGGTGCGTTCATGGACCCCAGCTCCGGGCCACATCCTCGCCTCTGCAGCCACCTACCCTGCACAAAAAGTGGGTTAGAAATTGGCTTTGCTCTCCTTCTGCCCGGTCCGAAACCTGCAAAATTTTTGTCTGTCCCCAGCGATCTTGGCGACAACGCAGGAATGTTTGGTGCCTGGTGCTGGGGGAGCTGGAGATCTGTCTTGTTCTCCAGCCAAAGACACCAGATACCAGCTGGGAATATGATTTTGTCTTGTAAAACAGATGCTGATGGTGGGGTGGTCTGAGTTTTAATTAAGCCTGACCTTCAGGTCTCTCCAACTAGGAATAAGCTGGTTAGACTGCTGTCGTCTGCTTCTGTGAAGCTGAGGAAACGCTTCCTGCTTGTTTAGCAACTGGGGTTTTCATTAGATGTTTATTTCTCAGTAGTTTTAAAGGTTTGTGCTGCTTGTTTGTTTATCTGCTACAGCTTCTGATCTCTATATTCAATTTTTTGTCATCCCCTTAATCTAATTTATTGGACACAGAAGGATTTTGCTTTTCCTTGACTGTCTCTTACTCCTTTACTGGATATCACTGTTTTCTCTTTAAATAAAAGCAAATGCCCTCCCCCCTCCCTGTACCCTTCCATAAGGAGGGGTTTAATGCAGGCAAAACCTCGTAGCGCGGGCAGACGTTTGTCCTATACCTGGCAAAAATGTATGGAGTGTGGAAAAATCTCCCAAAAGCTGAAGCAGGGGCATTTTGTCGTGTACCCTCAACCTTATTTCTCTTACTTGAACGAGGTCAGAGACTATCTCTGACTTTCTTACCTCTTTGCTGCAAGTCAGCAAATATGAAAAATCGATGAGGTTTCCATCAGCGGTACTTCATTTTATGCCTGGCCAGTAATAGAATTTCCTGAGAAAGCTTTTGGCCAAGTAGGAGGAAAAAAGTCATCTCCCTCAGCAGCTGTATCGTTTCTTTCTTTTGTCAGGTGTTTCTCCGGTGTGGAATAAATCAGGAGCAAATTCCAGAGCTGACAGCAACCGCCGGAGGTGAGAGATGCCGACCGGGACCCAGCCCTCCTCTGCGGGGACCTGGCGAGCAGGGAAAGGGGTAACGTGTGCGAAAGCAGGGAGGAGGGGGATTTCATAGCAGCTCAAGTACCAATGAGGTGGGAACTGTAAAGTTATAAACTGTTTTGGTTTAATCAAACTGTTTCACAGTTCTGCTTTTTGATCTGTTCCAGTTTGGCAGCTCCTTTTTCCACCTTTCTGTCTCCCTGCTTCCAGTCACGGAGCAGAAGGAAAAGGCGATCTTTTCTCTTTTGAATTATTGTATTTTCTTAAGCTCAGCACTGTACTGAATGCCCCAAACTTCCCCAAGTAAACAGCTCGAGGTTTTGGCAGTGGGGTTTTGTCACTGCGCTTTCCTCACTTGCTGTTTCTAATTTTGTGTCGCTGAATCCTAACCCTGGCCCTGCCGTCCTCCTCTTTTCCCTGTAGAAGCATGCGGGATGTGTGGAGACACTCCAGCCCTTTAATTCCACCTCGTTACATGGAGAACTTCTGATTCCCTCTCAATTACCACAATGTTAGTTTATTTTAATTTGTCATTAGCCCTTTCTTAGCCTGCGCACCTGAAAACAAACCAACCAAAAAGGAGGAGTTTAACGTGCGTGTGAATTTTGCCATTTGTGTGTGTGTGTTTATTCCTCCTTCCCTGGTAACTCTCGAACCTGCTAATCCATTTCCACCAAAACTGAGAATTTATTTTACTGCATCCTTTCGTTGCTCGCAGCTCTTGTGGCTTTAGCGCGGGGTTGCAGAAGGGAATCGGGCGCTTTGCTCTCGCCGCGTGAGTGCTGGTGACGAGCGGGGACCCGGGGATTTCTCTTTGCCCTGAAGGAGCACCCAGCGCTGCGTGCGCTCGCCCGCTGTGACGTGGAGCGATGCTTTGTGCACAGAGGTCCCTTTAGTCCCACGGATGCTGAAACTGTCCCCTGCTAGTATTTTTCTACCAGAGGAGAAATCCGCCCTTTCCGCCTCACGGCCGTTTGCATCACCCCAAGGTGACTAAGGCACCTGAGCGGTTGACTTTATCCGAGCGCTTGGCTGCCAATTCCAGGGAAACTCCCAAGGTGGTTTACAGATGCTTTAATCGCTTGTTTAGGAAACACGGTGATCAGAGAAGGCAACGGGTGAAGAGTCTGGCAGGGAAAAACCTCGCAAGGTCAAGTTCCCCAAGTTCACGTTGCCAAATGCCTGGCTGATGAGGTGGTTGATTTGCCGGTGAAGAGTCACGCTTGGCTCGGGCTCAGCCCTGGGCTGCTCGCTGGCAACAGTTGTGCCTGGCTCCAGGCAGGAATACGTTTCTGTATCGTGTTATATTATTGTATATATCACGAGGAATATGTAGATTTAACAATGGGAGGGCTGCAGAGAGGACAGGGGCATAAAATCCTTTTTCTCAGGGATTTAGTGATCCAGCATCAGAAGATAACCGTCCATCACTGTGTGGTGTGTTGTCTTCCACCCTGTCCTGTGGATCCGTGTCTGTCCAGTTCACAGACATCTCTCTTTCCTGAAAGGCAAAACGACCCAACAGCGAGCAACCAACGTTTTCCAGAGCAAATTACCAGCTTCCTACGCTGTTGTAGCTCACTGTTACAGGATGCAATTGCAAAGAATTCCCTGTTTAACCAGGCATCCGTCTGTGCCGTGCTCGTTTCTGTGACATCTCTCTGCTTCAGAAGTTCATTACAGTCAGATGGTTTATGTACACACAAACATAAAGCATATTCTTGCCTCGCACAAAGAACTAAAAATAGACAATAGCAACCTGTCATGATTTTACTATTATTATTATTATTAATTTCCTGGGTTATTTCTCTTCTCACCGTTCATCTGTTACACATGAGATTGATTTACTTGCTCGTGGAAAAGTCTGGTTAAGGTGATCCTCCTCTGAAATGAGACTCGTGCACTCAGTTGCTTAATGACCAGTGGGTGAGACCTCGCCTCCTGCAGCGCTGGGAGCACGGTAGCGCTGAGCACGTCCACCAGAAACGGCCACTGGCCTGTGGGAAACCTCCGCATGCGGGAGGGAAGGTCGATTAACCAGCAGGTAGGGCGTTTGCTGAGAGGCGTGGGAAATCGCTCCCCGTTCTGTCGTTGTGTTGTTTAAATAATTGCAGCGAATGTGTTTGATACCTTCGGCGTCGTGTTCGGCCTGCCGTGGTGGAGGAGAGCAGGGCCGTTTGGTTTTTGGCCCTTGGAGCTCCCGCTTTGGGCGAGGGAGCGGG